ATCTGTGCTTAAAATGCTAACTCATATATATAACATTTGCAACTTTTTTCTTACATCCGCTATTTGAGTTTTCCAATAATAATATTTAAGGGTTATTCACTATAGTAAGAATAATCAGAAATTCAAAGTGAATACCAATCAAAGGTTGCCTCTTTTTACAGAGGAGTGTGTATAACAAAAGTGCTCAAAAGAGTCAAAAAGTGATTTACAGGCAGCTCAATACACTAGTGTGGAAATATCCTCTATTCCACTGAATAAATTTAGTAGATATTGGTGCGGTGTAAGTGACAAGGACCTACACCTATAAGTGGAGCGCTCAAACACAGATAAATCTTACCAAAACGTAGTCTCATTCAATGGTAAAATATGGGGTACATGTCAAAATAAAATACAGAAAATACAATATAGTGTAGACGGTACTAAAAAATGGCTTCACAGTGATTATAATAATATCGTGTTGAATATTACACTCACATTTCAAGGTGCCTGTATATAGAAAACACTGGCTCCGTATAAAGGCATGTGTGCTGTTATGGTAGCACCACCCTCCTACTTCGGCTTGAAGAATTTTTCGGGAACACTGGTCCTGAGCCTACGAATGTTTGGCAAACAAAAATAAATAAGAAAGGACGAGAGTGAAAGACAGAGAGGGAGTAAGGAAGGACAGAAGAAAAGCGGGTCCATGAAGGGTGCCACAACAATAAGAAGAACCAGAAATAAGAGGACATCTAAGATGGAGAATTCAAGTAGGTAAGTAAACTGAGGTCTCTAGGATTTTTTTTTTTGATTTTTTTTATGTGACGCAACAAAAACGTATTATAAAGCATATTTAAATTAGGCAAATGATTTGGAAAGAAACATAAATCACTTAACAGGACATGTGTACATGATACTGTTTTTATCCAGTAGAACAGCTAATCCCAATGAAATTTCCCCTGTGGGACTGAAAGTTCAAACAGTACTTGACTAAGTTCTCTATTTCTGAGAATTGCCTGGTGACCGTACCTAGATGTTTCTAGTTTTGGCATCTCCTGCTGCCAAACTAAGAATACATTTTTCTTAGACATGGACATCCTAGCAATTTTTGGGGCTCGTAACCATTTTATTAAATAACAAGACAGTTTTATGATACACTGCCTTCCAAATGTACAGTGGCTTTGTTCCAGGGCTCAAATTAACATCTTCTGATGTTATTATAAAAACAAAATTACATTTGGCTCACACATTAAAATAAATTTTAAAAAATCAACATAAAACCCTTTCATGTTGATGGCAACCAATCTACCATGGAGAATAGTTTAGTTATGTTATGCCTCCAGAATTAGGGGTATTGCCTAATTATTCAATATCTATTTTATTATTTTTTGCAGGGCTGCTCTTTTGGACTAAAACCGTATCCATATAGTATATAGGAATAACTGCATGCAAATTGTTTATCAATAATGATAAAATGATAATAGCTTAAGGTAAATAAATGAACGCCAAGGATAAACTGCCCCACTATACACTGTTTAGACCTTTTCAACAGTTGCGTGTTTTATTTTGTCTAATGAAATGCTCTGTGTTAGTCTAATTTTTTTTTTTACTTTTCTTTACTTGCCATGAAGCCAAAACAAAGCAATAGAAAATGTTGAGATTGTATTTGCTGTTGACAACCGAATACTGACTCAGAAGTCTTGTTTCATGAATAATTCCCTACTACAAAGCATGGGCAATCTATTACCCTTTGTTCTATGTGCTACAGTGTGAATCTATGAAATGTTATGACTTCAATTGCTCCACCCACTTCCTGTGCATGAGCTAAAAGAGAAAGGATTTCACAATTAAATGGCAAGTTTGTGAGTATAGTGTATATTTTCAGCATGCCTGTAATGCTCCAGAACTGGTAATTTAGAACAAACCTATAAAACATAAAAATCTGAATAATAAAAAAACAGACTAAGAGTTAAGGCTTTATAACTCAAAAATAGGTATTTTAGATTGGTGTTCAATATGAAGCTTATATGGACCAAGTATGCTAGATAAGTTCTGTTTGCTCTCCTTTTGGGGATTCTTGGACATGCCTAATTAAGTATTGAATCCCACATGTTCATTCCACTCTCTAGGCATTCACACAAAAAATTAAGGGTACACTTGAAAATGTACACCTTAGTAAATAAATAACAAAACAATCTGTACCGGTCTGCAAGAGGACCACCAAAAAAATCTTACAAACTTAAAGGGACACTATAGGCACTCAGACCACTTTATCTAATTAAAGCTTTCTGGGTACAGTGCCCCTGTTCCCTTAACACTGCAAGGTAAAACATTACAGTTTTAGAGAAACTCCAGTGTTTACATTGCAGGGTTAAGACGGATTCTATTGGCTGTCTACCAGACAGCCACTAGAGGCGCTTCCTGGAGTTTCACAGATTTTGACTACGTAAAATGGCACTGGTAGTCCTCATGCTTTGCATGAGCATTAGTTTCTTAGATTGCACTGACGTCGGTGGAGGGGGAACCCGATCCAGCACCGAGGGACATTAGGTTAGCGTATAACTTTTTTTTTTAACCCTTTACATGGCCGGGTAGGGGGGTGTAGGGGCAGATGGACACTATAGTGTTTTGTTAAGATCCCAACCTCAGTTAAACAAATATGTGCGCAAGTAGTTACTCTGGTATTCTGGTATACTTCCACACTGGGGGCTTGATCATTTCTTGACCATAATGTATTGAAGTAGTAAGTCAGTCAATATATCCATCTCAGTTTAAAAAAAAAAACAACTTTTGGGGGTCAATATGACTCTCACATTAGTACAAGGGGAGTTGTATACCTAAAGAAAAAATTGGGGCAACCCACTAAGGGTTCTAGAGTGTGTAAAGGGAACGTAATAGGGGGTTACCCTAGAAATAGAATACATAAAACAAAGAAATGACCAATGGACATAAAATAAAAAAAGGAACAGTAATGGAACCAAAAAGACAAAAACAAGGAAACTTATAAATACAAAATAAAGGGGAGCTCATAAGCTCTAAGTAAGAAATGGGGTAGAAGGGGTTAAGGAGCAATGGAGCCTGCACTTGTCATGCACAACCAACTCAAGGGTGAATTCATCAGCCAGAATAAGACTGACTGAAGCCTGTCCCTTGACATGGGCGGATATTTGCATATAATATAATATATAATATAGACAAATTTAGTTTTAATTACATTATATTCATATAGGGACTTTACTTTGTCCTCTGGATTTTATCTCCATTGGTCATTTCTTTGTGTTGTAAGTTTTATACCTACCCCATGCTCCCAATCACCATGTTGCAACTGGAAAAAGGTCTGCGGAACAGTGAGCATTAATAAAAGACTAGCAAATGGGAAGCTTTTGCTGCCCAGTTGCAAGCAATGCACACCCTCAGAAGGATGCTTCAATTGAAATAACAGTGTGTGGAAACATCACTGCCACCCCTGTCCCCACATGCTGGGGCAATTAATGGAATAAATAAAGTGGGAGTGTATTAGTATTGCCTCCATGGGTGGGATCTAATTAAATAATGATCTGGCATAAAGGCTGCTTGATGGTTATCAGACATACCCCACTTCCAGCATGGTGAGTAGGGACATGGGGGAGGTATACAATGTTGGGGTCATAGTGACTCTATCGTGATTCTTCCAAAACCAAGTCTAAACTTTACCTTTAGTTGCAATGCTTGTCTTCAAAAACCTCATTGTTAGTGCAGTTCCTCTTGCCGTTGACATTGACCTTTTGGTATGTTACCTAGTTCATTTTGGCAACTATTTATATAATCATTGACAATGACAGTTTTAACCCCTTAAGGACCAAACTTCTGGAATAAAGGGAATCATGACATGTCACACATGTCATGTGTCCTTAAGGGGTTAATATGGATTTTAGTAAGAGTTTTACACTCTTGTAAATAGATATTGAAATCCAGGAAATGAACAATATATGCTGGCCATTCTGCTGCACATCAATAAGTGTAATATAAATACTATGTAAAATCTGAAGAAAAAAAAAAAAGGTAAAACTGAAATGTAAAACTTTCCTTTTGTTAACTTTCATTGTAAACAATTGGTGGTGGGGGTATTCTATATCTAACAAAAGACAGGGAGGTTTATTATAGCATTAGGAATACAGGTTTATATGCCTAACACATTTAATGACACAAGTCACATTACATTTAATTTGCTGAGTGAAGCATTCCAAGTCAATTGCAAGAAATAAGTTTGCACCTGACTTGTACAGCTGAGGTTACATTTCGTTTTTTTCAAACTGCGTTACTTTGTGTCAATTGACCCTTAATAAACAGTTTCCTATGTCATGTATGAAATTGATTTGCAATAAGTAGAAAGACAGGTAGATAGTCTTTATATGTTGTCATATATTTTACAGTCAATTAATAACAAATTTACAGGAACAATACACTAAATATATATTTTTAATAGAAATATTGAAATTGTTACTTTGTAGGGTATAACCGGTTTATCACTTAAAGAAACACTATAGCATTCAAAATACATAACTGTATTCCTAACCCTATACCCTCTGCTCCTCCCTCCCCCCCCCCGTGATCTTTTTTTCACTTACCTGATTCTAGTGGCGATGGTTGGGCTTCTTCTCTGCCGGCATTACAGCAATTCAGGAATATAATGTGCATGCGCAGTGAGAGCGCATTAGGTCTTCCCCATAGGAAAGCATTAAATCAATGTTTCCTAGGTTTGTTTTTTTAAGCTTGAGGACGTCCAGCGTCGTTTCACAGTATTAAACTCTATTAAACTGCAAATAGACTCTGAAAAGTAAATATTGCAGTTTCTCTAAAACTGCAATGTTTCACATTGCAGAGGTATGGAGACCGGGACAGTGCAACCAAAATAACTTCAATGAGAAGAAGTGGTCTGTGTTCCGATAGTGTCCCTTTAACATAATATAAATACATGAACAAAAAATCTGTGTTTAAGTTCATGTTCTGCTTACTGTTTTTTTGTAGTGTTAGTTGTATTTTTTTTCCTAATTTTTACATCTTTAATGAAAAAAAACATACATTTTATTAAAAATATGGATTACAGAACTTGTGCGTTTTATTTTTGAATATACTGTAGCACGTAAATGATCTACTTGAAAAAGGCGCTTTATAAAATGGATGACCTTATATCGCATTACGATAATTTAACACTTTCTGGTGAGCTTTTTTTAATGTTTGCCCTTTATATCCCATTCTTGCTGGACATATGTTGAATGTATTAATTCCAGAGTACCACCCACCTATTCTGAATAAGATGGTTGGAATTTCACCCAAAGGAGCCAGCAATTCTGTGGAACAATAACTCATTCTTAGGAGACTTAACTGGAACTCTGTTTCTGATGCAAGGGAAAGCCTGATAACATCTACCAGCTCAAGCTATTCTTTTGTGCCAAAGGCCCAAGTGGGATGTCCCTTCCTTAGCATCAAAGTGCAAAAGGGAAGTGTATTTACAAACACAATGTAGTTTGAGCTGGTTTTCATCTGCATTGTTAATCTATGAGGTTGTCACTGCTCGGTGATGTACTTTAACCTACGTATGGAGATGGGTGTCTTATATAGTATTTCCTTTATTTGTTTGAGTAGGAAGACAAGACAGCAAATTGCCTAGACTTTCAGTCTACTATCACTAAATGACTGACAAAACATCAAATGAAGAATTCACAACACGCTTCCTTTGTCATGTCAAGAATTAATTTTATGTTAGCCTTTACAGGCTTAAAAAAAAAAAGAAAACTAACAATGGTGTTTTTACCTAATATCACTTCAATTTAGCAAAAACTGTTTTTTTGTGGCAAAATTGGTTGGTGCATGGAGGACTTACTGCTGTGATGTTATTGTGTTGGACTTAAAAAAAAACTATACAGCACATAATACACTGCACAGTGCTCACAGGACTGAAGACACCCTGAAAAATATTTTTTTTCTTTCTTAACAAAAAAAACACCTCAAAATATAAACTGGTGATTCCAAGTTGGGAGTTAAGTGGCAGTGGTTTGCAGTGTGGCTCTGCTTTAACCATAAGCAACAGTGTCACACTATGATGAATAAAGCACGCTATCTCTAACCCACTCAGAGTTTGTGTGAGTAACAATGTGGGTAAAAGGAACACTTTCTTCTTCGTTTTTTTTTTTTTTTTTAACATTACCTTTTTCCAGGTGACACGTGGCATGGCAGTCAGTCAATAAGGATATTCATTACTACAGTGAAGGGCATTCAAGATAAATTCAGTTTAAGTAAAGTCAATTTAACATTTTAGGACAAATTAGTGAAGTTGCAAATCTATCTAAGAATATATCGAAAAGTACACAATATAGGAAATCGTCCTAATATATTCTTAAACAAGATTTTTCTTCTAGATCAATAAATAAACTTCTTGTAGGCTAGGTGGATAGGTTAATTGAAATATCCTGGCTCTCTTGGGAACAGCATAGTCAGCATGGACAGCCTACCACTGCTGCATACTATGTTAACAACTAAACTACTATGTTAACGCTTAAACACTTCTTACACAGTGGATATTATTACTTACCTTCAGGGGCGGAACTACAGCAGTCGCATGGATCGCAGCGGTCGCTGCTGCGACCAGTCTCCTCACTCCAGGGGGCCCGGTCACTCTGGGGACCCCTGTAACAATGCTTCTTTTACACAATAAAATTAAGAAAAATAAATAAACAAGCTCAATAAGTATGTATTTTTAATTATGTTTAAAAACAAAAACTTTTAGTTGAGAGACACAATACTAAAGAAAGCACCAAGGGATGCTTGGAAATGTATTCAGCGATTAAATTACTTTTCATGAATGAAACTGCTTGCTGCTCTATGTTTAACCCCTTAAGGACACATTATATGTGTGACATGTCATGATTCCCTTTTATTCCAGAAGTTTGGTCCTTAAGAGGTTAAACATAGACAGTTATGAGAGAGATTGTAAATAATTGTACAAGAACTTGGACGGACAGGCACAGACACCATACTGCTTCAGTTTTTAATCAAAATAAAAGGCATCATTATGCTAATATGAGCAACATATTAAAAGTTGTGCCACTACCCGAACCATCAGCCACACAAAGATTAATAAAATAGACTTACAGGTTTGTATTGTGACTATGATTGCATGGTGTTTCTTCAAGTGTTCCCTGAAAGCGAAGAACACTGCAACACAATCTTTAAGGCATTTTACTCTCAAAGTAACGCCAGGTGAGATTTAGATGTACAAAATATTTCTTTATTCTGGATGTTGAATAATAAATTCAAAAGAAAAAAAATGCTTGCTTCATCACCATGTATTTTTAATGTTCAATATCCCGACTAAAACCAGAACTTTATTTAAAACCCATGTGTCTCATTGTCTCATACAAATTTGTGTTGCAACCCATCACTGATGGTTCACCAGCATATTGAACCAAAGATTGTACCTAACGCTGTATTAAAGCTAAGTCAATATTTATGGTACCATTAAAATATCATATGACATACATGAATGAACATACATTCAGATTCATAAAATTAGAGCACACAGAATAGTGTACATTATTAAATGTAAGCATTTGAAATGGTATTTCAAGATAATTTATGTGAAAATTCCCCTATATAGACCACAAAAAGGGAAGCAAGCTGAGGGTACAGGATACATTTTTCATTAATGAACTAATTGAGACTTTATTGTTGCAAAAATCAAAACGTATTACCATACAACCTTAACGCTCAGTACAGTTGTATTACAATTTGCATCACCAAGTCTTGGAGGAAACAAACATAACTGGATAATAATGGGTAATGAATAAAGAGCAATTCTGGGCAAAGTGCAAAAATTTGGACAATCAGTAGCATTGGTTCTCTGCCTTCTACAGTGATTGCCCCAATTTTGGAATGTTACCTTAACATTGCTCCTCATACATAAACCTCATCTTCTATGTCCTAATATGGATGCAACCTTTTTGGGAAATCTAAGAAATGTTCTGCAACTGCTTATTGGAAAGCCGGAAGAGTTATTAATACACAGTGGAGCCAGTCCTGTCCAGCACATTTGACGATGAGGCCTTTGCTAGGAGTTACTACCGTACACTATCAACAATGATTGTTTCCTGTACAAAAGTCAGCTGTTTCCAAACAATAGCAAGCCTTTAAAGATGTCTGGCGCCCAACCAAGGTCAGATCTTTCTATTGTGTTCCATGCCTGGTGGAAATTTTTCATATACTTTCTAAAAGCATCCTTTTAATATTGATTATGCCTTCTAGGACTCCCTCATATGGCTTCTTCTAGAATTTAGAACAGGGTGTCCAAAAGACGGATTCACAGTTATTTTAGAACTACAATGTCAATGATAATTTGGGAGTTGTAGATTTACGACAGAACAATAACACTATCTTTGAATACTCCGATACAGAAAATTCTTCAATATTTGTATTCAGACTCTTCCTGGGAGATTATCAGATGGAAACATATTTGACTGCATGTTATTCTATGTCATATACCTAGCTGGATTCTAGCCTACAATCATACAGGGCTCTAGTGATAACTCATATTGGGACAGTATTTCACGTTAATTGATATCTACATTTTTACAATGTAGAAAATTAATTTCGACAGTAGCTTTATTTAACAAGTCTTAGCATTTGCATTTTTTAGATTCTAAAAATATTATTTGATACTTAGTAATATTATTTGATACTTAGTAACACTATAAAAAATTTGATTTTTTTTTATTATACAACCATTCCAAGACTACAATACTTATGTTTTCTATATATAAAATTCAATTCACTTTGTTATCATAAAAGTTGCCTCTTCTAAGGTCTGCTCATAAGGCACGTTAGCTGCTCCCTCTAGCGTTAGCTTTCATATGATTGAAACTAATTATATGGAAAAAAAAGCTGGGGAAAGGGAATGCTGTACATTTATTATACTTAATTAACACTACTTTAAATTTCTATTTTACATATATATTTTATATATTTATATATGAAAATGTGTGTGAAGTTTCCCAGAAGGCCCAAACACATTCTTTTTCTATTTAATTAGTATGTTGAAATATTCCTGATCTCTTTGATTACCATGCTTTGTGAGACATTAAAACAACAATGGAAGAAAGAAAAAGAAAAGTGTCTCTTGTGACCTGACAGCAATCCAATCCGACTCACTGGAATAATGCCCAGGTCCTCAAAGCACAATATAAGCAACTGTTTTGTATAACCATGTGTATTTGTTTATGTATTGTGTGGATTCATGTTTTAGCATTTATTTGTGTATATAATGTCATAGAGAACATATGTGTACATTTCTGTGCAGTATCAATACATGTGAACGCATTGGTATATTTCAGTGTAATGCAAGTATAATGAATAAATAAATATATATGTGTGCATGTAGTGCAAATATGTGGGAAAGGGGGTTAACTTGTATATAAGGTCAGTGTTTGTTTGTTAGAAGATGATTTTTGTGTCTTTGTAAATGCAGAGGTGTATTTACAGTTGCGCTCAAAGGGTTGCAGAAATTCGGCATTGATTTAAAAAAAATAAAAAAGTATTTTAATGAAGGATAGTAATCAAATGAAGCTATTTAATATCACACAGTTGTTTGGCTCCTCTTAAAATCATGATGATAACAGAAATCACCAAAATGGCTCTGATCAAAAGTTTACATACTCTTGAATGTTTGGCCTTGTTACATACAAACAAGGTGACACACACAGGTTAAAATGGCAATTAAAGGGGGGCGGAGTTCAGCTGTTGACTGAGCAAGTCGCAAATTACATGGGCTCCATGCTGAGATCCGTTTCAACCGAGCAAAACACTGATAGCCGAGCCAGGAAACTGCGGAATATACTTACCAAACAGGGCCGGACTGGGGAATAAATTTGGCCCGGGCATTTTTCAATCACAGCGGCCCCCTGAGAAAGGGGCGTGGCCTGAGAGGGTGTGTTTTGTCATCACTAATGACAAGCATGCCCCCTCTCAAAGTGAGCATGTTTGTTCAATGCGCAGAGCCCAGCTGAAGAGCTCTAGCATGGGAAAAAGACCCTGTATTTGTTCTATGCAGCGCAAGCAAATTTAATAACATGCTTGCGCTGTGTTTTCTTTTAATTTGTGTCTCCACAAGTGGGATACCAGAGGACAAAAGGGCCAGAAAAGCGTATGGTACATGTGTTTGGAGCCTGCTTGTGGGATTGCGTGTGTGTTGAGTAAG